AAGAATGAAACCCAGCTCTGATGATGTCCATCATATGATGGACGAAAGCTCAGCACATTTTCACCCGAAATGAGGGAGGAATACTCGTGGACTGCATCAACATGAATATAATATAAAAGCTAAACGGCTTCAGTACAACGATTTTCATCCTTCCTCATCTAGTGAGATCGACAAACGAATCTCTTCATCATGTACTTTCATTCGAAATGAAGGTCCCCCTAACAATACTTTCCATACGTTTGGTTAAAGGTAGTATTCTGTAACCACTTTAGTATTACTTCAAATATGATAGTTTTTCTCTAGCTATTTTGTATGATCCTTTCTAGGATGTAAATTTTGGTAGTTTTATCATCAAGAGGTGGTCTTACCTTCTACATGCCATGAAATTCTTCATTTTGAATGAACTGCTTATCAAAATGGCGCTTATAATGTCATACTTTGTAGTAAGCTGCTCACATATCTATTTGTGCATCCTCTAGGTTTGGTTGGTACTCGCACTGTTAGTTGATCGACAGCTCTACCTCAGTCTCGGCTTCCACTCGTCAGCTGTCTGCTCTCGCAGCCAATCTGCTCGTGTGACGGTTGCTATTAGCCTGGCCATGGCCATCTATACGGCTCCACTGTTCTGCGAATTCACATGGCAAGCTTACCCAAGTCTTGGTCTGGTCCGTGTTGTGCGCACTCGCTTTGGAAACAACCAGACATTCAAGTTAGTGCCAAAGAGATTATTAAACCACTTGCCTCATTTTGCTTTATCTGTCACTAACCCTGCCTCTTCTCTGTCAGCCTACTCATCAGGTTTTCATTGTCTCGCTCTTTTTTTTAAGGCTATTGAATTGCATGCCTTAAATGCATAATTTTTGCATATTCCAGATTTATTTAACAAAAAATATTTTTCGAAGGTATGAAGATCAAGATGGTGTGGCCTTTTGTGTGGTCGCAGTCTCCTTTTGTTGCATAGAGGTTGTTTGACCTTGTTTTCGTAACATGGTCATATTGATAGGAAGACTAATTGGAACGCATGATTGTTTGACCTTGTTTTCGCAACATGGTCATATTGGTAGGAAGACTTATTGGAACGCACCTAGTCCGGGGGTTGTCTGCATGATCATTTCCAAAGTTGAACCGTGGACGTGGAACATTTCCAAACGTTTCGCCGGCATCGTCAGTGAGTATCGCCATCCTAAGCACCATACAGCTACTCGTCAAAGAGACCAGTGAAGCCG